GAAGACCCTAATTGCGTGTAACATGTCAAGTGTTACAAAGCTATCCTTGTCGAACTACTTCACTTGGAGTGTCCAAGTTCGAGCCTTCCTCGAGGGTCATAACCTCGATGACTTCATCTCCGACACAGGAGTTGTTCCACCAGCCACCGTCACCACCGATGGTGTCACGACAGCCAATCCATCGTTTGCTACCTTGTCCACCAGCCATCTTGCTCGATTCATCACTCCTTACATACCACCATTCATCGAATCCACCTAGTGACGTCCTCGAGTGATGATCCTACACCGGAAACTGACGAAAGAATTACGGAAACATCGACTGGCTCGAGTCAACACCAGCGGATTCCTCTGATGTTTCGGACACTCCGACTATCTCGAATCCGGATTCACCAGCCTCACCTGCGCATGATCCTGATGTCCACCAACATCTACCAACTCTAGCTCCAACTCCAGCTCCGTTGACCTCGACAAATGCTCACCCGATGATCACGCGACGCAAAGCTAATATTATTAAGCCTAATCCCAAGTTTGCTCTCATTGTTTCATATTCAAAGACCGACATTCCCTCCACAGCTGTTCAAGCATTAAAACAATCGGAATGACGCAACGCTATGTGCGAAGAAATCAACGCCCTAGTTCGAAACAGAACATGGGATCTTGTACCACCACATGACGCGATGAATTTGGTAGGATGTAAGTGGGTTTTTTGGGTGAAGCATCATCCTGGTGGCTCGGTTGATCGGTTCAAGGCGAGGCTTGTGGCTAAAGGCTTTCATCAAAGATCGGGAATTGACTATCACGAGACTTTTAGTCCTGTGGTTAAACCAGCTACCATTCGCCTCATTCTCAGTCTTGCAATTTCCCGCAAATGGTCCATCCGACAATTAGACGTCAATAATGTCTTTCTACAAGGAAAGCTACAATCGTGGGATTTGATATTATCTCCAGATATACATATTACCTTATAGAATTGAACCCAATGACCTCGAGATGACTTTGTCATCTCTCAACCACTACGCCACCAATTAATAGAATCATTGTTTTTAAATCCCCATATGAGTTGGTAAAGATTTTGTCCTTCATACGAGAGATTAAAAGTTCAATTCTTTCTCCACTCGTTTGTAGTCTGTCAATTACAATTGATTTATCTTTCACATATGTGAGTTGATGTGTCCAAAAGATTGCAGATGGAGTTCACACGAATAAAAAAATCACATTATAGCCAAAAAGAAAAATATATGTGAAAGGATATTTTTTATTTACTCACAATCCACCTTAGAATTGGATTCTATTTTTTTACCAAATGTCGGATATTAGAGTGTGTAATACATCGATTTAGATGAGTTTAGCCCAATTTAATATAAATTGATTTGATTAGCTTAACTTTTATGCAGTATGGCATAATATAGAGATTCTACTGGATTGCCGTATAATTCTATAAATTAAAACCATTAATAAATAAAAGAGTTTGCATTATCCCACAAATGATGAGATTCATACAATATTGTTTATGACGAGACGTTATTGAAAATTACCAAAATAATATATATATATACATTGATTTGTGATATTTTATATATTTTATTATTATCTCTATTTTCTTTTCAAATGCATAAGTATATGACAAAATAGTATTTGTAAATTATATAAATATATGCAGTGGTTCGAATTTGGCTGGAAAGGCTCAATCTAGACCCTTCCCCGCGGCTCATTTACATGCAAGGAATTTAATGTATTTAATGTATACAAAAAAATAAATAGATTTGCATGGGGTTTACGTACGTACGCGTTTATAGAATAAGATTTGCCATGCATTTTCAGGAAACCTCGGCGGTGATAAATAAAGATTATTTGGTATTATATTATTATAACGAAATACGGTATATTTGTATAATCCATATAAATACGACTTTGCCAATATTGACAACGAAGGAATTCGTGGATAAGTGGGATTGTTTGACAACGAAATTTGAAATAAAATAAGAGAATATTTTCTTGTTAGAGAAAGCGAATGTCATGCCACTAATCATGTGCATAAATTTTATTAAATTAGGTCCCCATCCCCATGTGGTAGGACGACATTTTTTTCCTTCCAAAAACCGTGTTTTAGCGCAAGACTCGACAAATTTTATTTTTAAAAACAAATCTTGGAAATTTTTAAATTTTTTAATTGGCCTCAACTTTCTAAGTCTTCAGTTTTATCTATTTTTTTCCATCAACTATATGAATTTAAATTCCAAAAATATAAAAACCGACATATAACTTTGATTGCGACACATAATTTGTGTGTTTTTAATAGATCATAAATGATTTTTCCAAACAAATACATTTTAGATTTTATTGGTTTATTACTAATTCCAAATTTGATGATGTTAGTATATATTTAGTTATGATTATAGATGTTAAAAAAACAAGTTAATATCAATTTATCCAACAGTTGGTGGTCTAGTGGTCGAGCGCTCACAGATTCATCTTTAAAGTTCTGAATTCGATCTCACGGATGGTAAAAGATGTAATTTTTGGACAAAAATGATCTATATAGAAAGATTGATTCCGAACTTAAAATGGATGTAGTCGAGACGCAGATTCGGAGTAAACATCTTGGTTGTAAAAAAAAAAGTTAATATTAATTTAAATTAGTATAGATTTTTTTATATTTCAAATTTAGATTATATAAATAAAAATAAGTACTTGCCATCGTGAATTAAAAAACGTCGAACTCTATATAATTTTAATATATTAGATTATCATAACCTGTCTAGGTTCCCAATTACTGTACACATGACATGATGGGCCCCATAATCATCTTCATTAAAATTGGTTATGGTTTAGCAAACAAATTATTTATTCAGATTAACGATCAAATTTAACAGCGCCAATTACGCAGCTTTTGGTTGTCAAACTATATTATTTTTAGGCCACTAAAAATATTTTTATTTTTCTTAACGATCTATATGCGTTTAATCATATATTATTATTATATTATTACTTTCTCAAGACATAATAATAATAATAATAATAATGATAAATTCTTTTATGGGGTCTTGAATTGAACCTACACCTACCAAATAATTGTTCTCCTAATAATCAATTACCGTTTTTTCACGAAATAATATTAATGACCACATTATTAACTCTTTTTGTGAAAGCTATTAATATATAGACCCGTATTTCTAATCAAAAAATAAACGGAAAATCAGTTTTTGGATAGTTACAAATTATATATCTAGTTCCATCAAGGTCCAAACGTTATATATACATATATACACACACATACATATACATATATATACTCTGTGTAGTTGTGTGTGTGTGGGTTGGGTACAAGAATTAGAGGAAATGTCAATGTGGAAAAGTGTCCATGAATTTTCGATGGTGCCATCCAGCTGGTTCCGTAGCTTCGGAGCAACAAAACATCCACATTTTTCTTTTACAATAATTATAATTACTTTTTTTTAAAAAAATAATTACAAATTCATATACGTCATATTTATGTGCATCAAACAGATTCAATTACGTCCAAAAAATATGAGATCGAATATTTTTTACATATTGCGATAAAAGTTTCCTGGAATTTATTTAAATATACCCATACATATAATATACGAATTTGTCCAAAAAATACACAGTAAGAACAATGTGAAAAAATTGGAGATGACGTGTGGACCCCACTCACAGACAACCTCGCAGAAGCACCAGATCACTCCCTCCCTTGCCTTCCCTTTGCTTTTTAACATTCCATCTCTCTCTCCCCCTCATTTTATTCGTGCGATTTCTCTGGCCAGAGAGATTCGATTTGTTGCAATTGATTAGATCGGAAAATGTCCGCTGCGCCGTCTCCGGGAGCTACTCCGGCACCAGCTCCGCCGTCTCCTCCCACGAACTCCACAACTCCACCCGCCTCCCACCGCCACCCCCCCTCCATCTCCTCCGCCACCAGACACCAACACCACCGCACCGCCGCCGCCGACACCTTCTCCACCGGCATCCTCTCCGCCTCCGGATTCGACTCCCACGCCAGTCACTCCGTCTCCTCCGTCTCCGAACACACCGTCACCGCCGGAGACTCGGAGCCCGCCGTCGAGTCCCTCGAGTGGAAGCTCTCCGCCTCGGACACCGTCTGGTCCGGCGGATTCTTCGCCGTCTCCTCCGTCGGATTCCGCTGCGATATCATCGGGAGTGGTGGCTGGGATTGTGATCGCTGGAGTTGCCCTGCTCGTGGTGTTGACTCTGTTGTTTCTCTGTTGTAAGAAGAAACGTAGAAGAAGAGACGATGAAGCTGGTTACTACGTTCCGCCGCCACCTCCTAAAGGTAAGAACTTTATCAGGAAAAGAAATGGATCTTTGGATGAATTACTGTGATTATCTTGATTTATCTCTATGAATATTGCTTTTTTTGCATGCTAGTTCTGTTATCCAGATTTGTATTTGTCTTTCAGATTCGCTTCAGTTTCATCTTTGTTTGCATGTCTCTGACTTGGAATTTCAGATCTGCGCAAGTGTTCTTTTTCAGAAATGGTCAAATTCGTTGGATATTATAATCGATCTTGTTTTGTTTAGCTCCAGGGTTGTGATGTTTCAGATTCAGACATGATCTCAGTTCTCGTTTAATCCCTGCAATTCCTGTTCTTGCTTCTCTCAGATGGGCCTTACGGTCATCAGCGGCCGCAGTACTGGCAGCAACAGAACGCACCTCCACCGTCCGACCACGTGTTGACTTCAGCGCCGGCGAAGCCTCCGACCCCTCCGCCGCCCCCGCCCCTGGCTCCTGTCATGAGCAGCAGCGGTGGCTCTGGCTCCAACTTCTCGGGACCAGACAATCCGATCCTTCCCCCTCCTCCTCCTCCACCGGCACTCGTACTGGGTTTCTCAAAGAGCACGTTCACGTACGAGGAACTTGCGAGGGCGACCAACGGATTCTCGGAGGCGAATCTGCTCGGACAAGGCGGGTTCGGGTACGTGCACAAGGGCTTGTTGCCTAACGGGAAGGAAGTGGCTGTGAAGCAGTTGAAAGCCGGGAGTGGTCAGGGAGAGAGGGAGTTTCAGGCAGAGGTGGAGATCATAAGTCGTGTTCATCACAAGCATTTGGTTTCGCTCGTCGGCTATTGCATCACGGGACATCAAAGGATGCTCGTCTACGAGTTCGTTCCCAACAACACCTTGGAGTTTCACCTGCACGGTGAGACGAGTTTTTCATAGTTCGTCTGAATTACGGATCCGGTACCTGAGATTTTTAGGTTATCCTAACCCTAGACCGAGCCTAAATCCTTCGGGTCGCATGAGATATTACCCTTTTTCGAATCTGTTTTGGTCAGGTATCCAAAGTTTCAGATATCCGAGATCATTTTTCGGTTATCTATGGTACCTGAAATTAAAAGGGTTATCTATGATATCCAATTCGAGTTTTCTTCCCCTCAGCCATAGATCTTACCTTTTATGCCTTTCTTTGAATTCTTTCTTTTGACAGGGAAGGGACGCCCGGCCATGGATTGGGGCACCAGATTGAAGATTGCTCTTGGAGCTGCCAAAGGGCTTTCATATCTCCATGAAGATTGTAAGTATACATATATATATATATGTGTGTGTGTGTGTGTATGTGTATGTGAATGGTTTACACTTATATTATATATGTGCATTAGACAGAGACTAGTATTGCAAGATAACTAAATGGAAGTGTACACTGTTTTGTTTTCAGGTAACCCTAAAATCATTCACCGTGATATCAAGGCGGCTAACATACTATTGGATTTCAAGTTTGAGGCTAAGGTTATATAAATATATGGCCTCGTGTTGTTTCCGTTCTTGTTTGCATGTTTATGTTACTCAAAGTCGTTTCTACGTATCAGGTTGCTGATTTCGGTCTTGCAAAAATCGCTTCCGATACCAACACTCATGTGTCTACCCGAGTGATGGGGACTTTCGGGTAAGAAGATCATCTTGAAAGTCTTTTCCAACTGGCCAGATCTTTATCGTTCTCTAATCTCTATAAACTCGGATGCGGATTCAGGTATTTGGCTCCAGAATACGCTTCGAGCGGGAAACTCACGGAAAAGTCCGACGTTTTCTCCTTCGGTGTGGTGCTCTTGGAACTAATAACTGGCCGCCGTCCTGTTGATTCGGACAATGCCTTTACAGATGACAGTTTGGTGGACTGGGTGAGTGATATTTGCTCGTGTTTCCCGTTTCGCATTACCCGCTTTTTTTTACTCGATTTTTATTACCAACCAATCTTCTGGGGTATCTCCTAAACCCTAAACCTACCCGTGAATTGAGAAAAGGCACGGCCTTTGCTTAGCCGAGCGGGTGAGGAAGGAAAGTTCGACGGTTTAGCTGATCCAAAGCTGAACAATGAGTACGATGACGAGGAGATGGCTCGGATGGTGGCCTGTGCTGCTGCATGCGTTCGCCATTCCGCTCGTCGTAGACCTCGCATGAGTCAGGTAACCTAATTTCCGACCCTTTGACCCTTTTTTTTCCGCGGATATCATCATTAGCCACGACTTCTCATCGAGTAAGAAGATCATAACCTGGGAACAAATCTGACGATAGTGTCAATTTCTGTGTTTGTAAACCTGAGCAGATTGTTCGGGCGCTCGAAGGGAATGTATCTTTATCGGATCTGAACGAAGGGATAAGGCCGGGTCACAGCACGGTGTACAGCTCATACGGAGAAAGCACAGACTATGACACGAACCAATACAACGAGGACATGAAGAAGTTCAGGAAAATGGCGTTGGGGACGCAAGAGTACGGGGCAAGCAGCGAGTACAGTAACCCGACCAGCGAGTACGGGATTTACCCGTCGGGTTCGAGCAGCGAGGCCCAAACTACTCGGGAAATGGAGATGGGGAAGATCAGGAAAGCCGGCCATGGCTACAGTGGACCATCTTCTTAGCCAAATTCAAAGGAAAAAGACCGGTGGATTGCAGGTTTTTAACTGTAAAGATTCGAGGAAATGCTTCGTAATTCTAATTGATACATACGTACGATATAAGAAGGTGATTTCTGGGGTTTTTTTGTTTGTATTGTGGATATTGAGGCCGAGGATTCTGAGTTTGATCATTCTTTTATTCTTTTTGTATTGAAGCTGTAATGTTGATGCCAATTGTTGAGGTTTCTGATTTCTCTTTGTGATGATCATCAAGAACCTGTCCTGTGATGTGTATGTACGTATGTATGTATATAAATGCTTCAAACTGTATGTAATGACTCCATTGACAAACAAAAAAGCTCCTCTTTTTTTTTAAAAAAAAAATCAAAAGTCCACGCCTTTCGAGTTCTTATATGGCGCGAGACCTTGCCAAATCATATCAGAAGCAAAATCTTTTCCAGACAATTCGGTTCCGGTTATGTCTGGAAGGAACCCGGTTATCAGATAGATGCCAGCATCAGAATCGGTTCTGAGCAAAAGCAGAAGAAGAAACCATGGGGGATTCGGATTCAGACCATGAAACCGGCATTGTCTCTACTTCTGATAAAAAGTATCACCTTTCTTAACCAGGGAAAAGCTTACGGCGGCTTCATGAAAAAGATTCATCATTGGAAAGACAATCAGTTTAAAACACTTTCCGTCTTCCTGTTTGTCATTTGCTGTAAAAACACGAATTTGCAAAAAAAAAAAAAAAAAAAAAATCATACCCCGCGTTGGCCTCCTCGGTCTTTCAACGTCTCGAAGGAAGACGTGAACCACTGCTTCCAAGCCGCGTCTTTCTGCTGCTCGACCCACGAGAGAAAAGCGCTGTCCAGCAAGCAGAAGATATTGACGTAAAGCAGCTGGTACCTCACGGGTACGTATCGGAAATTCGCAATCTGAAGCAGAGGCCAAGCCCCGCCTTCAAGAACCAACGCCGGTAGGAAATCCCTCTTCAATCCTTCTTTCACTTCGGTCGGGTTCTTTCCCGTGGCGAATCCCATGTACGTAAAGAACACTAGTAGATCAAAGGGTCCGAATATAAGGCCGTCCATCGCGACTTTCGCAGCCACAAACCGTGCTGTCTTCGGTTCGTATAGAAGCCTTAGTTTAATGAATCTGTCCAATCCTTCGTACCTGCGAAAAAAACACAGAAGGGGATTCGAGACAGAATACTCGAGACTAGTGTCTTGAACAATGCATTTTTATCGGGAACTCGAGTCTCAGTGTCGTGGAATGAAGCAAGAAAAAGACAGAATACTCTCGGGATAAGCGACATGGAGAAAGAGGATGAGGTAAACCAACCAGAAGTGGCCAATCGGTCCTACAAAACCGAACCCAAACATGCTTGTGATGGCGACCCGCTTCCAGTTAACCTTGAATTCCGCATCTGCATCTGTATCTTTATCCGCGTTCTGATATACGGAAACACAGATTAATGTTCATCTCGACGTATAAGCAGTATCTCCTCCCGACATATAACTAGAACTCAAACCAACATTCAATAAACTCAAAATATGTTTCTTACAAATCTCGAGGGCAAACAGAAAAACATCAAATGACCAAATGAAAGTTGGGACTTTTCAAAAAACAAAAAACCATTTTCAGGGTTTGCTCAAATGTCCGAACTGGCGAAAAGAGAAACCGAAAGCTGCAATGGAAAACGTTCTTTCATGGTACCAAAGCGATCTTTTTAGGGCGATGCAGCCATCAGGAAATGCAAGAGGTTTTCGTCCCGAGACGATGAAATCAATGACTCTTGACTGATTATATAACACATCGCGGATCAAAAATTGTTTCTGAATCATCGACCAAGAATATGAATTTAACATGTGAGGTGATGCCAGATGTTCTACATGTTCTTGATTCCTTAGTTCTAGGATTCTCTAATCTCTCCATAGCAAACAAGATTCCAAGGAATTGATACTCCCAACATTCCAATGCCTCTACACCACTGAATTCGATCCCAGACTCCAAACAGGCAAACTAGCACGCAAACAGAAGAAAATTCTTGAAGAAAGAATGGGAAACAACAAGAGCAGTAAACTATGTCTAAGCCAAAAACGCCATCGCCATTGAGCTGCTAAAAAGCTCACTGGTTATTGATTGTCAAAACAGCATTAGGGTTTAAAACCAGTCCTTCCAAATATCAACGCATTCGCCAAAGCCCACCCAAGAAACCTATCGACATAAACTACAAGGTGAGAAATTTCGCGAAATCTGGAGATACCCAGATGTAGAAATCAACAGGGATTCAATGAATCAAACTGTAAAAACCCGGAAATCGAATAGGGAGACCCGATTCAACTGGACAGGAGCTCTCAGAAACAGACCCATGGAGTGAAATCGATACGGGAATCGATGATGACTCACCGGAATACGATGAAGACGGCGTTGAGCGGTGGAGTGAGTGATGTACTGAGCGGTGATATCGCCAATGCCCCATAGAAAACCGGAACTGATGACCTGGGTTTTCACCGGATGAACCGCGAGGCATCGCTGGTACCATCTCCAAAGCTTCAACATTGACCGACCCGCCGAGAGAGAGAGAGAGATTAAAGATTGAAGATTAGAGCTTTCTTGGGACAACGAGGGAGAAAGGGAAGGTTTTCACTTTTGTGGAATCCTTCACAGAAAGCTTAAAACTGCCAAAAAAAAAACCATGGACTGGACGCCGTCTCCCTCTCCCTCTATTGGATTCGCCTTGATGTCTCATGTAATCTGAAATCTTTGTTATCCATTGACCTCTTGTGATCAATAGAAAAATGCAAAAGGAAAAGACCAACCTTTTTCCTTAATTCTATTATTCGCACCCAAAATTTTTGCCCCTTTCACTTTGGTGTGTAATAATCTGTAAAAGAAGAAACAATATGAATAGATTAAATCTAAAAGTAAATGAAAGATTAGCATCTAATACAAAACATAAAAGATATTATTAGTTCAATGGTTGTTGAAACATGGTGGAGTGGGGCACTCATCTCTCGCATGACTAATGGAACAAGCAAAGCAAAGATTAGAGTACCTTGAATCAACTAAGCTACAAATTGAACAAAAGGGAAACAAAAGAAGAAAAAAATTTGTCATTTTCGGGGAGAAAGATTGAAACTTTCAATAGTCGTGATGATGATGACGAGTCTTCTTCACCTGCCATCTCCTCCACTATCCCTGCAAATATCTGATTCCTATTCAAGATTTTTCAGAAACAACCCATTATCCTCCATCTCCTCCCGAGTCCATTGAACGGGGACCGTAAAAACACACTTCTGCATCGGCGGTGGAACCCGACTGCGGTAGAAGCAGTGGAGGCCGAGATGGGGGGCGACAAGAGGGGAGAAATGGGTTGGTGCCGGTGGCGAAACCTGTGTTGGCATTTCGTCATTTCATACCAGAGCCATAAATGCTCCGGACAGATGATTGCTAAGAGGCGAATTCAGCATCAATAGCTTCATTGGTTTTCCTACAATGATTTTCTGAAATCTCAAGTCCGATGGATTATTTCAAGCTTCCAAGGGGTTTTGGTATGGCCTGAAATTGTGTACATGATAGAACATGGTCTTGGTGATGCAACCACTCGATTTATCTGCCGTTTCTTGTGCTGTTAACTACTCTTCTGACTCCATCTTCTGGTGAAGGATGATAAGATATTGCTTGTTTGAGAAAAGATTTCTGATCCAATATTTTCAGATCAAAGTATTTCAGGAACTTGCACAGACAGGTAGTAGCAAAGGAAGGTGACACAATGGAGTTATCATCATACAAGTTGCCCTCTCGCTCGTTTTCCTTCTCTAAGACAAGGAAATATTGATCATAAAATGGGAAGAGAATTCTCCTGTAAACAAACCCTTACAGAAGACACCTTACCAATACCTTGCGGGTTGGGGTATCTTTTCCTCTGAACGTGGATAAACAAGGAGTTCTTGACCTACCTTTCCTTAAACATGTAGGCTCCAAGACCGGAAACTCGTGGTTTAACTTCAAATTTGTAGCGTGTATAGGGAAACTCAGCCACTCAAAGAAACACAGGAGTTCTTATTAAAGGTTAAAGAATGTCATCTCGTCTCACTAAATTCTATGATTCTGGTGTTACTGAAAGATGTGTAGAAGGAGCGGAGGCCAAGCTTCCGATGCGCAACACCTGACTAGCTTTTCCGACAAGGTTCCCACGTCTTTGACTATGAACCCATATTGATTACATCTTGGAATCAAACGTATCACACACCAGAAGAAACAAGATCAAGAAGAATTGGAGAAAGAAGGGTCATCAGATAGGAGCGAAAGACTAAGTAATATGATTAATCATGGAGATTTTATCATCTGAACTATGCGTAATTAAATCATCACTTGACCCTTCTCATTCCAACACTGTAATCAATTTGATAAACCCACAAGAATTGATTTTTAATGACAAAAAGTTTAAAACTTGAATGAAAGATATGAAAAAAGAATCGGCCTCATAGAGAAGATTAGGCTTTATCAACATGGATTGATTCGGACATATGCTTGTCTTTTGTTAATTTAATCATCGGCCGAGGAACGAACAAAGAGTAAAACATTATGGAAGAATGGACTCAGAATATGGGTGGTGATATAACAGGATGGTCGGCAAATTCGCCATTGAAGGCCAATTTTACGACGAACGAGACCTTTCACTGATTTCATCGTCACCGTCCATTTTCTCCAGAAAAACATAAACTTTGCCGGAAAATCTCATACAGAAAAGCCAAAGAAGAAAACTGTTTTCACAGAAAACAGATCAACCATTGAAATCGAGTAGACAGGGAACACAAACCCGTTCGGCGGCTAATAAGAACCCTAACCGAAGTGAGAAACGACTGTAATGTAAAGGTCTCTCTGCTCATGCCTTTTTATACAGAGCAAAATTTTCTGAGCTAGGGTTTTTGGGCCCTTTTGAAAAGTTCATTAAGATTTCGCCACGTGTACTTCCCTACATCGGACGGTAGTCAATTTATTCCCATTGAAAATAGTTTTCTAACTTAATAATGGTATATATTATTAAACAAAATCTCATTTAAAAATCCTAACTTTCTAAAATATATCAAATAACCATCTTAATTTTAATTATATTTTAAATATTAAAAATATTTTAAATTAATATTTTTATAATTTAATATTTCAATTCACATTGAAAACAATTTACAATTTCAATTAATTTTTTTATGTTAAGAATATTTTTTAATGAATATATTGTTATCAAAGTTGAAGTTGAAATATTTTACAAAATTGAATATTTATATAGATTTTTTCTAAAAAAATTAATTTCGACTGTGTAATATTTATAATGAATGAATGAAAAATAAGAAGCTGTATATTACAATGTAGAAACAAACAATGTTTTACACAGACAGTGACTGATCTCACAAACACACTTCCATCATCTTCTGACATCTAAAACTTGGAACATCAAATTCATAATCAAACCGAAACTGGAAATCAAAATGAGGCAAAAAAGATTTGATCTTTTTATATGAAATCTGAAGTTCATGAAGAGACTTTTGACTATATCAGTTTCTTTCCACTCTACTTCTACTTCTATCGGGTGCTACTACTCTCCCATCAAGCGTCGACAGAATCTGAGGCATCGACATTCCTCCCGACACAACGATCTCTGCACGATAAACGCAAACCGAACATTCACGAAACAGAACGTAATCATATCCTCGATGAAAGTGACTTTCGAGTTCTGAATCCAGAATCAGGCAGTCATCCACTTGTGAGGGTTTGTGTTTCTGGTTTGAATGAACTGGCTCTCAACATTATATCATCATAATCATCTCCAACCTTTGACTAGAAATCATGCAAAATGAAAATCAGTGGATCCCTCACCTATTCCTTCCCGGACAGAGAGATTTGGTCTTATGACATCCTTTGTATTGACAAGGAATATATCTCCGATGTAGAGGTGGTTCGTGGGAACGTATACACAGCAAAGTTCCTCCTCCGCTGCATAATTCTGCAGGGAAGAGTGTTTTCAAGTTATTTCGGAAACTGGGTTTCGAGAAAGAAGACTCGGGTCAGCGTAAAACGCATCTAGGGTTTCCTCGAGGTTCAATTTCCAGGAGAAAGATGAAAGAATTGAGTCAAGTGCCTTTGGCTTTGGTTACCTGGAGTAGAACAGTTGATGTGATAAATCCAATGGCGTATTCACCAACACGTGGATGCCTTATAATAGCGACTTCCTTGAAGGCCTGAGTATTTTGATCTGAAACATATTCCGAATTGGATATGAGAGTCATCCGTGAACCGTGATCATGGCTCAACTGAATGTTATAAAAGATTGATGATCATACACAAGTGAATGATACCTGGCGATATGGCAGTACTGATTTGCTTGGAGGCATTATAGATGTGGCGAACAAATGGCATCCGCTTGATAAACCACTCTCCTAGGTTTAGAACCGATGCTCCCAGCCATGAAGACATGAACACCCCGACCAAGAAGATGAATGTGATGGATGTGATAAAGCCAAGTCCTATAAATCAATGCAGAAAAGCGCTGTCATCAAAAGGTATATTCTAATTTCTACACTCTCTCTTCGCTGTAGCACTGATTTTCTTGCTTTAGACAGCATATATACACTCAGTAAGAACATTTTCTTGAAAATTAGTGATCATTGATCATATCGCCAAGAGGGAATGGGGGAACCAGACAGAAATAGAAGGAAATGTGAAAAAACTTACCGAAAGTATCAATTCCTAATTGAGCATATATCGGAGAGAAAAATCCGTCCATGAAATGAATGAACCACCAAGTCACATAGAATGTGATTGCTATCGGAAGCAGGATAACACTGCACAGAGACATAGAAGTCAGAATCTACAACCAGGCATTCGACCTATTACACGCTGACGCCAGCGAAGAAAAGCAGCACGGGCTTTCATCGTGTGATAGGCTGGAAAATTGAATATCTCATTCGAAGAGACAAGGAGGCACCTACCATCCAGTCATGAACTTCTTCGACGCCCAGCTTCTAATTAACTTGTAAAAGGTCTACACACATATGATAAATCATTATCAGGCAAGAACAATCAAGATACATTGCAGTTGAAATACACACTGAACTTGAGCTCTTTGAAAGATATGTTCATAAATATCACTATTCACTAGTCAATCCAAGGCCTCGCATCCAACACTCAATAGTTTAAGGGCCTTCCAGTAAACTGATGCAGTTCATTGGTACACAACAAAGGTCGATCTTTGTTGCCAAAACCCTAGTATGATCGGCTTAACGGAGGTAAAATACTGCAAACAAACTTCGAATTTGGGAAGTAACGAGCCGAAATTAGCATCAATCGTAAACCAAAGTCCCGAAATCGGCCATGTGCTTAAGGGTTCAGTGCAAAACCCAAAACAAATCAATCGAAACCTTAGTCCAAATTCTCATCGAATTACATAACCACCAACGAATAACCCTAAAGGAGGAACCATCAGGAAAAAAAAGGGGGAAAACCTATAACCTCGTGACCGGAGTGATGCGAAGATGAAGAAGAAGACGAGGGCTTCGCCGCAGCGCCATCGTCAGCATCGCCAGAATTAGCAACCGGAATCAGAAGCTCACGGTCTCTGTCTCGGCTTGCCATCACGATCGCCGGTTTCACGTCGCCCATCAAAAGTCCCTCCTCGGTAAAACAAAAAAAAACCCAGAAAAAAAAAAGAGAGAAAGGAATCGAACCCCTTGAACGAATCAGCAACAAAGAAAATGAACGAGAAGAATCGAAAACGAAGGAAATGTCGCCGATTTAAGGGGTCAAAAAGCTTCAACAAGGAAAAACCTTCCCAAAGCTTGACTCTTCTCGGTGGTCGGGGAGAGAGAGAGAGAGAGAGAGAGAGAGAGAATGTTTAAATGGGATTACGTCTCATTAGACTCTACAATAATTAACATTAGTTTTTCTAAATTGTTTTGTTTCTAATTTGACTGACCAAATTTATATGTATTTTTATATGGTGGCATAACAATGTGGCACTGCCTATCTGTCCCATAATTCAACCGTTAGGTATTTGTGTTAATCATATTCTAAATTTCCAATTCAAATATTTGATTATCTTAGTTACTAAATATGGATATTATTTCAATGATTAATCTCTTTAATACCTAAAACAATCCATCCTCCGCACATGCCCATTTAGTTTTTTTTTAATTATCTTTGGGACAACTCTTACTTTTGGATAATATCATTATTCCATTGTCATCAATGATTAAACAAAATTTACCATAATATCTAACAATTTGATATGGATAAAGTTTTATTTCGAGAGATATTTAGGGGTCCTTAGAAACTATGATGATTTAATTTGATTTACATATGGCATATAATGTTACTTATCGATTTGGAGTTATGATATTGATTAGTCATTATATCTAAGTTAAGTATATATTATTCAAATAATATTTCAAATGGACCAAAATGACTAAAATTTTGAAACTATATTCATAACTTTTCTGAAATTGACCCAAGACGAATGGTTAACAGTTGGTGCAAAGCATTTAGAGGTTGGTGGTTCGATTCCTGGTTGGAGAGTTTTTTCACATGGACTGTCCGGTCTTTTGGAAGATGTAGTTGGGTCAAAGACCCGGTGAACTTCCGGATTAACAAAATAAAAAACTTTTCTGAGATTGAAAACAAGATCAATGCAGTCTAATTGCTATATTAATCATATCTGCATTAATTTGTTACAAGAAAAGAAGTGTACCTCAATTTAAATTTTAAAACTATTGTGGTGTTCAATGAAAGTTTTAAGTTTCCAGGGCTTAAAATGAAAATAAAATGCTATGAAATTAAAGACAAGGGAAGCCATTTTGTTGATTGTTAGAACTTATGGCGGCAAAACATCAATTTCATAGTAATTGAGGGACATATTTGTAATTATGATTAAAGTTTTATATAAGTATGATTATTCGAAATTTATTCCGAATTATATATTTTTCCGAGAGCCATTATCATGAACATTGGCCGCAAACCAAATGGTCTCCTTCACAGTTCTCGAAGCACACCACCTCTTCCCTTCTCTTCTCCACAGTAAACCACAACCACCACCGTTTTCTCGGTGTTTCTGTCATTTTCTACCCACTTTCTCGCCTCCCAAACACAGTCTCCACCCGAAATTCTCCAAATTCCTCGTCCATAGAGCTCGTCTTTGCAGTGTCCACGCATGTTTGCCTCAAACTCATGACGGGATTGAGCGTAAGGACGTTCACAGGAAGGAGAAGAGACGAACATGTTCTAAAGTTTCTTCTTCAAGGTCTTTGAATGAGAGAAAAGGTGAGAATTTTGCTCAAACCCATTACAGAACAAAGGGTAAGGATAAACAAAACGCTGAAACAAAGACTGGAAAGGATAATGGCCGAGCAAGAAATCTCGCACCAGCGGAATTCAAGGTTTCGGTTGAGGAAAGATCTTGTCTTTGCTCTAAAGATGAGGAATTTTCTGTTCAGGAATCAAGAAATGATGTCATGGCAGAGGTTAATGAAGAAATAGAGAAAACCCCTGAAACGAGAGGAGAGAGAGGTAAGAGTAAGAAGGTGGAGGAATGGGAAACTAAGTTTAGAGCTGAATTGGATATGTGTTCGAAGATAGGTGATGTAATGGGTGCTATTAAATTGTACGACAAGGCTCAAAGAGAAGGAATCAGATTGAAACAGTACCATTACACTGTTATACTGTATCTCTGTGCTTCTGCGGCTTCAGGTGTTGTTTGTCGTGCTAAAAGTGGAAGAGGTGTCCGAGTTTTGAATTTCACAGGCGACTCAGGCAGTGTTTCTATGGGGAAAAAGAAAGAAAAACATGATAATTTCGTCAACAATGGAGATTTCGATGAGACAAGATTCGTTTCAGGTGCAGAATCTGTGAATTTGGATGGTGGTTTTGCTGAAAAGGAAGAAGATTTGTTTACCCGTTGCCAAGAAGAGAATGAATTCGTGGTGAGCGAAGAGATCAAGACGTATGCTCGCCAAAGAGGTTTGGAGATATATGGAAAACTAAACTCAGATAATATCCCGATGAACGAGGCATCATTGACATCTGTTGCTAGAATGGCTGCAGCAACGGGTGATGGTGATATGGCCTTCGAGATGGTGAAGCGAATGAAATCAACGGGGATAAACCCTAGACTGCGTTCTTATGCCCCTGCATTATCTGTGTTCTGCAATGGTGGAGACGTTGAGAAGGCGTTAATGGTCGAAAAGGACATGTTATGTAACGGTGTTTACCCTGAGGAGCCTGAGCTAGAGGCATTTTTGAGGGTCTGCATTGAAGCGGGTAGGAGCGATAAAGTGTATTACCTGTTGCACAAGTTAAGAACAACCGTTAGAAGTGTCTCGCAATCCACCGCAGGCACGATTAGGAAGTGGTTTGAGAGTAGAATGGCATCAAGAGTAGGGAAGAGGAAATGGGACCCGCGAAAAGTAGAGGAAGCGGCAAAAAATGGAGGTGGAGGTTGGCATGGACATGGTTGGCTTGGTACCGGAAAATGGGCGGTGTCAGATACAATAATTGGAGATGATGGGTTTTGTAAACGGTGCGGGGAAAAGCTCTCGATAATCGATCTTGATCCCACCGAAACAGAGAATTTTGCTCAGTCTGTTGCTTCTTTAGCTAGGAAAAGAGATAAAAACTCAAACTTTCAAAGATTTCAGGTAGTGATGTATACTTACACCTGCCCTTTTTTATAAGCTCTAATCTTCCACATGGATTCTAAACACGGTGGAGAATGTTTGCAGAAATGGTTGGATTACTATGGGCCTTTTCAGGCTGTGATCGATGCTGCTAATGTCGGTCTTTACAGCCAGAAGAGGTTCGTGCCCTCAAAGGTATACTTAAAGAATTCTTCGTCAAGTTCATACACACACACATATATATGTGTGTGTGTGTGTATACATCCCTGGCATTTTCTCGGTTAGCCATTGATGCAGAGTTTTTGTTTTCAGGTGAATGCTGTTGTGAATGGAATTAGACAAATGCTTCCTTCTAGGAAATGGCCGCTCGTCGTTCTGCATAACAGAAGAGTTGTGGAGACTAAGAAGGAGAAACCTTCCAATAAGGCGATGTTCGAGAAGTGGCAAAATGCAGATGCTTTGTATTCAACTCCATCCGGATCCAACGATGATTGGTGAGGAAATACATGCGTATGTATGTATGCACATACGCACATTCACGTATTTTTAACGTATTCTTGTCAATTTCTCTGCATATGATAAATTTATCTTCAGGTATTGGTTATACGCAGCTATAAAGTTCAGGTGTTTGATCGTAACAAACGATGAAATGCGAGACCATACGTTCCAGCTTCTGGGCAACGACTTCTTCCCCAAGTGGAAAGAAAGGCATCAAGTAAGTGAAAGATCTCGCCTTTCGCATGAATCATACTTTTCTCGGTGATTCGTGATGTCTTGTTTTTCTTCTTCCGATTTTTCACCTCGATCACTGGTTTTTTTACCGATCAAAGCATTTCATTCCCTCTGTTCTAAGGTGCACTTCAGCTTTTCTGAGGCTGGACCTGTGTTCCACATGCCACCGCCTTATTCTGTCATGATTCAGGTAAAACAATATGCCGCCATTGATGCCCATTTTTGTATGGAAAGACGGGTTTTTCTTACAAGATAATCTTAAATCAGGAATCGGTGAGAGGTCACTGGCATATTCCTATCAACCCGGTTGATGATCTTGACGAAGACGTGAAATGGTTATGCATTGTACGTAGAAACTCACTTGTATCATCAGGGCAACCTTCTCCATTGGGACAAGAAGGTAAGTAAAACAAGAAAGTAGCACCCAGTGAACTTGTTCTGTCTGCTCATGTTCTTCATTGTACTTCCATGGCTTCCATTTGCAGATATGTAAACCATATTGAGCATTTTGGTCAAGTGTATACTGTTTTTACCATGAGAATCTGATACATTCTTGGAGAAAAAACCCAGATTTGCAGGATGATAATAGGAAGATCGGATCGATCGAGCCAGCTGAAGTAAAGATCGAGAAAAGAGAGCTCGAAACCCTAGAACTGTATCAAAGCCTGAGAAGCATTGTTTCTGGATCAGAGACCTCATCGGATAATCACAGCTCGGTTTTACCCGAACTCGAAGCTGCCGAGAAGCTCGCCGCCTGTGTATTACATTTCGATATTTGAAGACTTCGGAACAATGAAACAAAACGCTCGAGGCAGGAAACGTCCCTGAATCCACGGAGAATGACCCGAAAACCACCGTTGATTCTTGGGAGAAAAACCCTTTTCACTGCCACAAGATTTTCGCCGGAAATCTCGAAACCTTGAGGTATGATATCTTCATTCTCTGCTGATTTGACCCGAAAACCGCAACGTAGGAACGAAACCCAGATGAGAAAACTATGGGACTGTACGGTGTAGGGTGAAGAAGCTCTGTAACGGCTTTCATCTTCTTTAGTTGAAGATATACGCCATTGATAGACTTTCTAGTTTCTCCTCTGTCCCAAGAAACAAAGACAATGAATGAGTTACCCGGTTTAGAAAAATCATACCGGTTTGGTTTATGTATCGAATCGATTATATATCGTTCTGTTAAGATCGGTTCGGTTTTGTACAAGTGAACCGAAATGGCCTCCTCTATTATTACAATTTACACTTGTCAATGCCCTCTCCTAAAACCATTCAAGTTCTCCCAGGTATAAGTTTTGTACGGCCATTTTAAATATATTTATCATATTAAATGATGATATGGTTATTTACACGTACGTGTCCAATAACAATTAATAAGTTTTAATATGAGGTATTAAATGAAAGCGGCATATATATATTTATATAAATAATCAAAATGTACTTCGGGAAAATTTTAAATTTGAATATTTATATATATATAATTTTAATTATTTCGCATTTATCACGGCAACAAAAGCGGTCAACATTGGCAAGAATCCTGTGACTCAAATAAATAATATTCACTTTTTTCACGAAAAAAAATCCAATGAATAATTTGGCAAGAAAAAAAAGGATATAATTAACATATGTAGCTTATTTGTTGGTTTCATTTTTTTTTATTTTGAATTTGATAAAGGTATCATGGCATTTGGTCGGATTACAAACAAATCTAGTTTTATTAATTTTATTTATAAAAATATTTATCTGGAGCTATATATCCTTGGCTATATAACTTATATTCCCTTATGATTGCTTTGTTTCACATTGGATTTAGAGTAGATATTTTAGATTTTGCTTCCATTATTTTTTCTATTTTTATTTTGAAAATATTATATCTATTTATTTATCTTATATCATGTTTTGATTTGTCTTCCGTTTTCATTAATCAAAATGTTTATTTTTTAAAATATATATATATATATATATATATATTGTTTATTTTACTTATATAATTTTAAAAATAAAATCGAATCAATTTTAAATAAAATTTCATTAGATATAAGATAATTATATATTATTAAAAGAAAATATTAATTACATGAGGGGTAAGTTGATCATCCTAACGTTCAAATTCAAATGGATTCCATTTTTGTCGCTTGGTCACATTCAATGTCTGCTCTTTGAATGTTTCCCAAATTTCTAACCATATTAAGTGCATTGAAATCAAGTGGTGCATTTCATACAATCCTGATTCTAACATTGTCCATACACTGTTTGTATATTTATCACCGACACTCGTGTAATCATTTTTGGACTGATAGTACATTATAATATAAAGTAACAATTAATAATAATATCAAGCTGAACTTTTCATATGAACTTTCACATTTTTAATCATATCAGTTTTGAATAACATGAACTTATACATATGTGTGTGTATAATCATAACAATTAATAATATTAAACGCATTGAAAAGCATATGAATGTCCATGGACATATACATACATATATATATATATATATAAAATTTGGTATCAGTATTCATATCCATTGTTAGAGAGTTGGCTATTATGGATTTTAAAAAATATTTTTTAAAAATAATTGATTTCTTTAGTTTGAATTATCTAATACTAGTTGTTAATCACGTTCTACGCAAATATATATATATGTTATTAAGTTTGAATTTATATTTCGATTCTATATTAATTTATCATTAAAAATAATTTTTTTTAACCTGCAAGTCTCGGGCTGCAACAATGAATTTTATATTTGATGAACCCATAGCTGATTTTAGAATATTCGGGGCTCAAGAATTCAGTGAAATTATAATTAATTAATATTTCCAACCCACCATATTGAAATCGCCTCTAATATTATTATACAATGCGATGAGGAATTAAAAAAAATGACGAGAGGGAAACATTCATTCATTTATTTAATGCAAAAGCTTTGATTAATTAACTGAAGGTAGTTTTTTTTGTCTTATTAACCGTAAGCACCGTTTTTTCGTGTTACGTGGACCTTACCTTCTTCATCTTCTCCCTCTCTCTCTCTCTCTCTCTCTCTCTCTCTCTCTCTCTACTCTCTCCATAACGAAGATCATCTTCAAGATAATCCTTCTCTCTTCCTCTATTGCCCTAAAGATTCCTCTCTCTGACATAATCCCAAAAGATCTATCTTCTTGTTCCCTTTCGTGTGAATTTACGAAACCACGAAGAAGTCAGCACCTGGATCTTGTTTGACTCCCCTGCTTTAGCTCTCTCTCTCTCTCTCTCTCTCTCTCTCTCTCTCTCTCCCCATTACCACTTGCAAATGCGGGCAATGCCAGAGAAATTTATTCACTGGTTTTGATAGGAATCTCCGTCTGAGGAGTTTCTCTCATCTGGGTCGGCCATTTTCCCTGGAAAGATCCTGACTTTCTCGGAAAATCTCGAGTTTTGAAGGAAAGTTTCGGCCTTTCCCGAAGAAATCAGAGGAAGAGGAATCGCCGAAGAGCTTGATTTTGGGATTTGCCTTCTAGTTTGGTGAGTTCTCCTGACGTTTAATCATGTTAGGGAATCTAATTAAATCTTAATTTAGAAGAAATTAAAAAAAATCACAACTTTTTGTCTCAACTCAGTAAGAATCAAAGGTTCTGTCATGATCAAACCAGATTGAAATTTCTTAACTGGGATGTGATTGCAAGAGATCTGAAGCCAATCACTTCGTGTTGACCATTTTCCCACAATCTGATTGCAGAAACATGCCAGAGGGGAATCTTAGATCAGGCGTTTACAGATCGTTCATAATGTGCGATGATCCAAGAGGAGTTGTCGAGTCTGGAGCCATCAGAAAGAAGAAGATCCAATGGAAAGGGAAAGAACAGAGAGGGGGAACGTGCGAGGAGAAAGCCGAAATGCTGAAGAAGATGAGCCTTGAAACCCATTTCGAGTCTTCACCTGAACCTTCGTTGCAGCTCTTGAGGGTGTCGAGAGGAATTCAGAAACTGAACGAGGCAATCGAGTCTTGGTCCAGAGGGTTGAGCCATGAAGTGAGGCCTGACCAAGTTGCTAAAGATCTGTTAAGAGGAGCACTCGACTTGGAAGAGTCATTAGCTTTGCTCGGTAGGTTTCGAGAAGATTCTTCCGAGGATATGAACCCGAAACCGAGGAGTAGTGGCCACGGGACAGGGGAAAGAAACGATATGAGGTTTCGGAGATCAATGTCTGATAGATTCGTGGAGCAAAACCGGGAGAAAGTGGCTGAGAGGAGGAGGATTCAGGACGGGGTTTCGTCACGAGATTGTTATGAAGAGCTGAGGAAAGTGATCAGAGAAAGCTTTGCCCGGCAAAACCTTTTGCCCAGGACAGCAGAGGGAACGAGCTCAACGAGCCGCTCGAGCCAATCTTCCAATGTCCATGGAAATGATTCTGGTTCTACAAAATCCTCCTCCTTGTCATCAGATATTCCACCCAGTAATAGCGTTAAAGGTCCAAATTTGATCGCCAGGCTTATGGGTTTGGACGGATTTCCTGAAGAACATGCGAAAAGAACCGTTCATATCGATAAACCAGCGATCAAGAAGCCACCATCCGAAGGTCCAGAAGCTGTAAGAATCAACTCAGTGAAGGAAATCTCTTCACGATCTCCACCACCTTATCTTCTGAACAATTGTCGCCCTGAAGAGATTCCTCCCTCAACTATTGTGCTCATCAAACCTATGCGCGATCCGCTACCCGAAACAGAAGGAAAAGTGAAAAGCAAAATGCCCGTTGTACCCAAGAAACCGAGTATGAAAGGAGAGGTTCATCCAAGAATGATTAGTCAAAGAAAAGATCGGGCCACGGGTCCTACTAAAACAAGCAACAAAACGAAACTACCGTTTGGTCTGACCGTGAAAGACACAGATATGAAGAAAACAGCAAGGAAACCCGACGAGAAAGGAGCAAATAAGACTAAGCAAACAACTACTGGAAATATCAAAACCTCGAATGCTGCAAGCAAAGCTCTAAAGCCGGTGGTGACCGATAAAACTGTGGCCAAGAAGAAGGATAACAAGTCCAATAATTCGTCTGAGACTTCAACTAGACGGCGTTCAAAGTTGGATTCAAACCCTACTGGAGAACGGAAACAGATACGAGCAAGGAAGGCCGGAGAGACGAATAGACTAAACGTGAGCAGATCTTTTTTCAGTCTTTATGATGAAACATGTTATGTAGATTTACAGTATAGTATAATCATCTATGCAGGCAAAGAAGAACCCTCGTAAAAAAGACAATGCAGGGAAGGATCGTTCTTCCGATAATGATTCTATCTCTTCTCGTGAGACAAATATATCGGTAAACCAGGCTTCTGCAGAGGAGGAAACCACATCTTCTGAGCTTCACCTTCAAGGTTATCATCCCTTTGGTTCTTAGAGATGTGCCGGTTTCCTATAAATGCGGTTTCCACATTTCAGAATCCATGCTTAACAATGACATGTTCTGATTTTGCTATGATAGGCCATGGCCATGACGAGAATTCAGAAACTTCTACGGTTTCCAAACATCACGAAATCGAGATCCCGCTGAAATCGTTCCTCTCCACCTCTCCAGATTTCCTCAGCTACGCCGAGGGTCTCTTCGACATAAGGGCATCTCCAAAATCCACCAGAAACGGCAACAGCATTGTGATTTCCGACCAAAGACTTGTGCTTGACTACGCAAAAGAAGTAAGCCTTCAACTTTCGCGGAAGACATGCCCTGAAAGACACCGTGTATCCATGGAAGAGCTGTTAATGGAGGTCTGCAATGGCTTCGAGGCTCTGAGGGGCTACAGTAACACGTTGTCAGGACAAAACTGCATTGGCGAAGACAGTGTTCAGAAGATGTTGGAGAAGGATTTAAAGGGTACGAGGAAGGCAGAGATGGTGAGTGGAGTTTGGGATTTGGGTTGGAGAAATGGGTTTCGCGCTGACGATACTCATCGAGTTGTGATCGACGTTGAGAAACTGATTCTCTTCGGTTTGATAGAAGAGATGCTGTCTTGATCTTTTTGGTCTTACACATATATATACATATATATATATATATATATATATCAGTTTAAGGTATATGACAAGTATTGACTCTCCATGTAACGTACGGCCTTTCCTCTGAGGTGGGTATTGTAAGAAATTGAGCCGAAAACTTTTCCCCTTATTTTTTTTCGGAAAATTAATAAAAATATTTCTTGCAATATTTCAAATTATCTGATCAAAATGATAATATTTCTTGCAATACCTATATCATATATGTGTATATGTATGGTAAAAGTTTCGGTTTAATTGTACATTTCATTCAGATTCATTTAGGAAGAATGTAAATCTATTAATCGATTAAACATTCAATGGGGTTTCCATTATCCAATGGAATTAATGATTATGGATAATAAATAATTTAATTTAAAGACAATTTTTTTTGTATAGATGCAAGGGTACGTGACGTTGTACGGCCCAAAAAAATAGACCCCATGGAGGGAAAGAATTTTTAAAATTCCAAACCAAAATGATACTCCGTTATAAGTTCATTCCGTTATAATTCAGTTGGAATAAATATTTTTCAAAACAATTATGTTTTTTGGTTTTTTATATCAGTTTTGAGTTCGGCTTATTCGAAGAAATTATTATTATTATTGAACAGATTGTTACTGAAATCAACATATATATGTCTACTGCTGATTTACCCCCATTCGACCATGACAGCTTGGTCTCAATCTTCTCAATTATTATAATAACTTTTTTATTATGTATTTTATTTAAATAAAGCCTTATTATTCCAATTATATTTTCCAAGCGAAATTTAAAATAGTATAATTCAATTTAAAAGTAAATAATTATACAGAAAATAAAAAGACGAGAAAAAGGCGCAAGGACTTGGTCCCACAACACATCTGTAAAATAGGAAAGACAAGCTGCAATCACCCAATCCCCGAGTCAAACTCGCCACGTCAGACCACAAACATGCCACGTGTCGTAACCACAAATCATACCACCTCTATTTATACGTGACTAATGAACAATTAACGTCTTAATTAGTCATTAAACACGATACTAATTAATCATTACAGAAGACGACGATAACACAATACGACAAAAAAAATAATGGCAAGCTTATCCGCCGTGGCAGCTTCGCTTCGTTTCAAGGCAGTCAACATGGCAAGCCCTAGGGCTCTTGTCCCCGTCACGACAAAACAGTTCCACGTACCTTTTTTAACACTAATTTTTTTTATTACCTTTAATTTTCTCGTATGTTTTTTTTGTTTTGCTTATGATTAGCTTAATCATATGCTAATACGAGGTTAACAAGGGTTATTATGATTTGATTAATCTTTTTTTTTTCGCTTGATAATTTATAGCTGAATTCGAGGAATTATGCCACCATCAATGACACCAAGAGGGCCGCTGATTCTGCTCATCAAAAGGTTATTATTTTTGTTCGATGTTTTTTTTTACATAATTTGAATTCGTTGGCTATTATACGATTCCTTTTATATGTTATAAGGGAGATATTATTAATTTACACAATTAGTTTTTAAACCTACATTAGGACCTTTGTTTTAATATATGTATAAATGGTTATTCAGTTAATTCATAAATGTACAACACTTCCTTTATGTATATCTTTTTTTTATTGGACTTTATGTATATCTTTCTATTCTATGAATGGTTATTCAGTTAATTAGATCCTATTTACATGTATATCATGTACATAAACAAATTATTATTGATCTACCTTTTTTCGGATTAAAAAACTATTTTTTTGGCACTGAAAGGTCAAAGTTTTTGCTATAACTTCACCGGATATAATAATTCTAGTGTGCATTAATAACAAAAATAAAATCCTGTAATACCCATTCAATGATTGTTTTAATAATTGAAAGAAGTGTAATACCAAACATATATATATATATATATGTATATATGTCTGGTCCGACTAATCTCTTGCACAAATTACATGATATGAGAGAAGAAAATTTTGGTAGAGGATCCATATTATAACTGATATTAATTAAACCGAATTAAAATGGATGGGCTATAATAGGTGGCGAAGAAGGCGGACGAAGGAGCAAAGACGATATCGGAAGCGGCGGAGAATTTGAAGGAAAAGGCGAAGAACACGGCGGAGGAAGCTTGGGATAAGGTGAAGGACACGACGGAGAAGATCAAAGATACGGTGGTCGGAAAATCCGAAGACGCCAAAGAGTCCATCAAAGCCACCGCCAAGACCGTCGAGCGAAGCATGAACACCAAGAACAAGAACTGAAATTAACCAAATAATATAATAATTGATTAAGGACATCGATATTCTATAAAATTAGAGCTTATGATATCTACAATTATTAATAATATGGTCATGATGTGAAGGGTCTTTTGGTTATGTTGTATTGGGAAATTTTGACATTTTCCTAGGGAAGAATAATTTTGATGATTATATATATATATATTATGTTGGTTCAAATAAGTTTATTTGATTTCTGCTCTGTTTTCCAATATACTTTATTGCAATTTAGTTTATTAATTATATTCTTTAATTATATCATTTGAAATATGATTTTCTTTTCCGGAAAATATATGCTATGACACCCAACCCAATAAATTTAGAGATATTTTTTTTGGGTAAATGTAAATTTAGAGATATTACCAATAAATAACGAAAATGAGCATTTTTTCTTCATTTTTTAATTACACACTTTTTAAACATTTTTATGGGTGTTCTCCTCGGCAGAATGCTAACCGCACCATCAAATGCACACAACTAGGAGTGGGCGTGCGTTTCGGGTTTCGGTTTGGTATTCAAACGGTTTGGTTTGGGAACGGTATTTTCGGTTTTATAAAAAGTGTACCAAATTAGAACCGAATGTTAAACGGTTCGGTTCGGTTCAGTTTTAGTATCGGTTCAGTTCGGAACGGTACCATTATATGAATACCAAATAAGTACCGAACTATAATATTTACACATATATTAGTGGAATATTCAAATTTTGGTTCGGAATTCATACGGTTCGGTTCGGTATTCATACGGTTCGGTTCGGGAACGGTTCATTCGGTTTCATAAAAAGTGTACCAAATTAGAACCAAACGTTATTCGGTTCGGTTCGGTTCGGTTCGGTTTAGTTCGATTTAATTTCGGGATGGATCAGATCGGTACTAAATTTACGAACCGAAGTGCCCACTCTAACACACAACGGTTGGATGTTGGATTTTCTAGGATAAAATATTATTTTTTATATATAATAATATAGTGAATATTGTTATCATTCAATTAACAAAAAAAAAATACAATTATACACTCGGCAGCAAAAATAAACTATATAGGGATGATGCAAATATAGATTTCTCAGGAAATATCATCGCATATACAACAAATGTAATTTGTTTTACCGTGATGTAAGGAGACGTCCAATGGATAATATATGATATTCGGCAATCTGTTTTATATAAAATGATGGACCGTATATCACCAATCTTGATGACCTAGGGTACGGGAAAATGAAGAGCAAAAATCTGACGTGGTGGTTTTTCATTGGATGAAAAGTCGTACCACGATGCAAGCAAAGGAAACGGTCAGTCACCACGACTCAAGCTTTAATTCAAGAGATAAGCTAAGCTAAGCTAAGCAGAAAAATCCACGTGGCGATATATTATGCGTCAGTCATATATAAAAGTAAAAGCCACATATGGTATGACGTGGATATTGACCATTGGATTATACAACATAGATCTACTCAAGAGATATATGCTGCTGTATACATGTATACAATTATATATACAGGCGCGTATACACAATCATAGATACATTATCTTGTCAAGTTTGATGATTCCTTCCACGGAAAAACAAGAAAAGAAAAACAGATAAAAGTGTGAAAATATATATTTAGCCCAATGAAATCAATAGAACAGATAAAATTGAACTAAAAAAAATACAAAACGATTATTCGGAAAACAAAATAATTAAAAAGGACAGCATCTCCAATAGAAAATAAAGTGTTTCTATATCATTTTATATTTATGAAAATTATGATAACATTTTATTTTTAAAATTGAAAACAAAAGACCGCATGTTTTTAAATATGCAAATATAAAAGAAAAGGAAAATAAATAATAAATTAAAAAACTATAACTGAACCGAAAATATTTACAAACTAATTTAATCCAAGAATTACAAATAAACCACAACCCCAAAGATCTCTAATATTCTAATATGCCCAACAAAAATCATAAAGAAAATATTTTACTATGATAATTATAATTTTTAATATAATAAATAAAAGGTATAATAACAAAGGTATTTGTGCAAATAGGTATAATCCATGTAATCGAAAAAACTAAAGTTCAAAAAATTTATATATTTAATTAATATATAAAATTTTTGAAAAAAAAACTTTTATTTCACATATTTTAAAAGGAGAATATGATGGGAAAATGGATTGCCTTTAGTTTTTGGAAAGGAAAACAAGAAAAGAAAGGTAGTAAAACGTTATCTTTTTTTTTTTTTATAATATTGAACAACCCCGTTATTACCTTCCCTTACAAATGGAGGTGAACTGACCACCATCCAGGTCTACCGTAGACCTGGTCACCAGGCGCGCCTAACGTTCGGACCGTAGTTAGATTTAGGTACCTGCGGATCAAACCCCAAACTTACGTGCAAGAGCCTGCAACACACGCGCGTAGGATGTAAAACGTTATCTTTCGTTCTTGGAGTTTGAGGAAAGGACAAATTAAAAGAATCTCAACTGATTTCGCTAAGTGATTAAGTAAAGTAAATGTCAGATTTTGTTACTTTCTATAGTTTTCTCCAACGATACTACGAATAAAGTCAAGATAATGTCAACTTTTACCCGCAAAATTTTTTATACCATTGATAACTTAAAACATTAGTAACAACTTGAAACTTTAATATAATATTATAATACAGATTATTAGATCGTTTTCTTTTCTATCTTTTATTTCATATTAAAAATCCATGATTAGTTCTTAAATTAATCGACCACTCTATAGTTTTTTTCTTATTATCTTAATTTTAATTTTAATTTGTGAGAAAATATAAAAAATGCTTGGTTGACGTACCTCATAATATATCTAAGAATATTGAAAATAGATGAGATATTTGTATGAAGAGAGAGAGAGAGAGAGAGAGAGAGAGAGAGAGAGAGAGAGAGAGAGAGAGAGAGAGAGAGAGAGCGTGTGGTTGCGCTATTCAACATCAGACAGATGGTGAAACTCATGCACGAATGCTTTCCTCCTGCCAAAACTTAATATAGAATTAAAATGAATAATATATATTTTTGACGTGTATATGTATATGCACATATATTATAATTAGAGATTCATCTTTAACAAATTACAATTACTAATTAAAACAGTCTTTTATAGGTTCCAAATCATTCTTACCATAATTAGAGTTTTATATGTTTTTGCATACCAGGATTTGTGCTTTGTTATTTAAATTAAAACTGATTAGCTCATACAGATTTTTTCTGCACTTTATTTCTTAAACATGATTAATTAGTATCAGAAATTTTTAAACAAGAATCAAACATGAGCTAATTTACTAAATCTTCATTTATCCTTTCACTAATAAATCCCAGCAATTTTATTAAAATTTTCTCTTTTTTTTTTTTGTATTTATTAGACTTTGTCTTTAGTATACAGTTTTATAATGTTCAGAGTGATGTAAAAAAAATCCCAAAACCAAAATTTTAACTTATCTCCAGAAAAAGGGTTTAATTACAAATATTACAAAAAAAAAATGTCATATATATGATACCACTCATGCATCTTGATAATACATACAAACATATATACATATATATTGCTGTGTGTATATATATATATATATATATATATATATAAACTCTCTAATATCAAGGAGAAAAAAACAAAAGACTCTTCTCATGTATGACCTTTCTCCGATCATAAGAAACGGTTTTTCATATTTGGCCTTCTTCATCAGTTCGCCCTCTCCACAACCAAATCCCCTGGAGAACAAAAAAGACCAATCTTTGTTAAAATAAAAAATAATAATTATATTTCCAGTTATAGATAGATCTATGAGAGATTTCAGCCAAATGATTGGTCTTTGTTTGAAGATCTGATGTTGGTGGGAGTGACTTGGTTAGATTTCTCCGCGTTATTATTATATATACGGATCCTCTTTCTGGTTCTGGAGATTAAAATATACACGAACATATATACATGGTTGTGTACTTATACATATCCTATGTATGTATATGTTGCATATATATATATATATATGTAGAAGTGGCCCAGATGGGTTTTATGTTGTTTTTTGAGTGCGGTTGAGTTGAGGATTAGATTTTATATATCCAAGTTGGGTTTTTTTCTCCTTTGCTTCCTTGTTCACAGACAAACCCTATCTGTCCGTACAAACACCGAAACAGCCCTTTAGTCTCCGACCAAAGAAATCGAATCTTTTCATCTCATTTCTATATCTATTTCCACGGAAAAGCATACAAATACAATCTTTACATACGCCGATATGAAGTACTTGCATGCGGCGGAGCAAGGCGGAGATCCGGCGGACGACTGCGGCGGAATACTCGCTGGAGACGCGGCTGATAACAATGTCATGATCGACGGCATGGACGATGGCGTCGATGTCGGGAGAGAGATCTGGCTGGGAGAACATGATCAAGATCATCATCATCATGTTCAAGAGGACGATGATTTGCTTATTCAGGACCCTTCCGTCTTCTACGGCGACCTTCCCTCACTGCCGGAATTTCCATGCATGTCGTCTTCTTCATCTTCTTCGACGTCTCCGTCTCCCGTCAACGCAATCCTCTCGTCGGCTTCTTCCTCATCCTCATCCGCTTCGTGGGCGATCTTGAAATCGGGCAGCGAGGATCTGCAGAACAAGAGTCATAATCCGTACGAGGATTCGTCGGCGGATGTGTCGGCTGGTGCAGAGAAGATGGAGATTCCAGCGCAAAACCAAGGCGTTGTCGATGTCGAGTGTACCGTCGACATGATGGAGACCTTCGAGTGCATGGATCTGGTCGACAGTAACGATTTCTTCGATACCTCGGCGATTTTCAACAATGACGATGCCACGCCAACACTGTCGCCACTGGGAAACCCTAGCTTGATCGACCAAGAAGCCCTACAGAACAGAGAATCCGACGTTCCTTTTCATCGATTAGAGGACCAACACACGATAGAGCAAGACAAGGAGGATCTGGCGACGGTGTTCTTGAAGTGGCTGAAGAGTAACAAAGAGACTGTGTCGGCTGATGATTTGAGGAAAGTTAAGATCAAGAAGGCGACGATCGAATCCGCGGCTCGGAGGCTTGGCGGCGGGAAGAAAGCGATGAAGCAGCTTTTGAAGCTGATTCTTGAATGGGTCCAAACAAACCATCTACACAAAAGGCACAACAACATGGATTACACTGATCTCCCTGCTCATGAGACGCAGACGCAAACGCAAACGCAAACGCAAACGCTCTACCACGACCAGTACTACCGTCAAAACCCTTACCCCGACGTTATACCCCCAACGCCGGATTCAACTCCGTCTTTCTCTAACCATCAATCTCCGTGGAACCCACCTCCAAATCCGGGTTTCGGATTCATGCCCTCGCCGGCGTTTCCCGGCGGAGCCGCTCCACCGAGTTATCTGCCTCCTCCACCACAGCCGCAACCGGAAAACCGTCATTTACTTGAATCTCCGGCGTCGTGGGCCGCTCCCCTGCCGCCGCTACCACCGCACCAGTTCGGGATGGCGAACGCGCAGTATTGCCCGTTTCCATACCTGGGTTTCACGGGATATACGGCAAATACGTACGCGTATCCGTACATGCCGGGAAGAATGGGAGACCAGAGATTTCCCCGGTTGTGCTCGTCGGCAACGAAGGAGGCGAGGAAGAAGCGGATGGCGAGGCAGAGAAAGTTCTTGTCTCACCACAACAGACACCGCAACGCTACAAACGCCGACAGCCTTAGTCAACAAAACATGAACCAGAACCAAATCGGCGAACATGCAATAGCCCGAGATACATTCACGGCGGTTCAGGCGGCGGGAGCTGTGGCTCCTCCCGACACCGCTGGGGGCTGGATGTATTGGCCGAATGTCTGGGAGACGGTGGAATCGCAACTCATGCAGCCAAGGCAGGTACATGTATCGAACAAACTGTGTGGTTTTGGATCGTCATTGTAATCAATGTGGATTTGGGAATATGTATTAATGATTTGGTGTTTTATTAGGGTTGGAAACAGGAAAAGAGTTTGCGGTTTCTATTGCAGAAAGTGTTGAAGCAGAGCGACGTGGGCAACCTCGGAAGGATCGTGTTACCCAAAGTAAAAAAAAAAAATACTTTTAGGGTTTTGTCTTGGTACGTCTTTCCATCGATTCGATCTGTATGCATGTGCTGGGATTTGTATGTGAAAACAGAAAGAAGCAGAGACTCACTTACCGGAGTTAGAGACAAGAGACGGCATCTCTCTTGCCATGGAAGACATAGGAACCTCTCGTGTTTGGAACATGCGTTACAGGTTTTTATTTATTTAAAAATTCAATTTCTTGATAATTTTTAATGCATTCGGCTCTTATTATTTATTTTCATTTAATAAGCAATGAGATTCATGCAGATTTTGGCCTAATAACAACAGTAGGATGTATCTCCTCGAAAACACCGGTACCATTTCCGAATTATATATTAAAAAAATTTACTCAACCAGTAAAATTGATATCCATCTTTTTTTTATAAATACTTTGCAGGTGATTTTGTGAAAGCCAATGGACTTGGAGAAGGAGATTTCATAGTCATATATTCCGATATCAAGTGCGGAAAATACGTAAGCTTTAATCACAAAACCCCATTTGATTACATTTTTCATTTTCACTTGTCATTCAAATTCCATTTCCGACATAGAATTAATGGAATCGATCGGTTCAATAACATATTGGCAGTTGATACGTGGGGTGAAAGTGAGGCAACGGGCAGCGCCGAATTCGGAGTCGGCCAAGAGACAGAGCAAGTTGCAGAGAAACGATAGCAATACTTCTCCTCCTTCTGCCAATGCTGTGGCCTCACTAACTTCTCACTCAAATATCAAGATGAAATAAATATATGAAATCAGGAAAAAAATATATACATATATGTATATATATATAGAGAGAGAGAGAGAGGGATATAGAGAGAGGTGAAGAAAAAGAAAAGCGGACGAACGTGGGTTTGCCACTTCTCGTGCATGCATGGGATCTCGCTGCCAAGTGAACGGTCAACTTTCAAAAGCCATTGTTCGAGGTGTGTATCCGATCGTTATATACACTACAAAAAAAATGGTTATTTCCAACGGGTAAATCCGTTGGAAATGACCAAATTTCCGTTGGAAATTAACGTTTCCAACGGATTTATCCGTTGGAATTTCGTCGTTAAAAATCGGTGTCCGTTGGAAAACCGTTGGAATTTTCAACGGAATTGCAACGAATTTTTCCGTTGGAAATTTCCAACGAATTTCCAACCGGCATCCGTTGGAATTTTCCAACGGATTTCTAACCGCAATTTCGGTTGGAAAATTCCAACGGAATTTCCAACCGATATCCGTTGGAATTTTCCAACGGAATTTCCAACCGATATCCGTTGGAATTTTCCAACGGAATTTTCAACCGCATTCCGTTGGAATTTTCCAACGAAAAATTCGAAACATATTCCCGACCCGACCCCGACCCCGATCCCGACCCCGACCCTGACCCCGATCCCGATCCCGACCCCGATCCCGACCCCGACCCCGACACCGACACCGACCCGACACCGACATCAACACCAACCCGATCCAACCAAACCACGATCCCGAAACTCACTTCCCAGTAGGTCACCCATACTTCCACTGCTCCAACTCAATCCTCCTTAACCCTAGAGTTCTAATTAGAACTCTTCCAACTCCTCCAAGTTAAACTTCTGATATCATATAACATTAATATATATACATATTCAAATACACATATATATATATATATATATATTTGTTATGTATATGTATATGGTTAATATATATATACACTTATTCGTATACATATATATGTATATACACACACATAATATTTGTATATATAAAAATATATAAACACAAAATATATCTATATTTATACATATATAGATGTATAAATATATAAAATATTTGTTTATACGTATGTATACACCTCCTTAATATACATATATATACGCATATATGTATATATATATATATATTCGAATTCATATAAATATATATATTTTTGTTAT